GTCAGTAAGTCAGTAAGTAAGTCAGTAAGTAAGTCAGTAAGTAAGTCGGTCAGTAAGTAAGTCGGTCAGTAAGTAAGTCGGTCAGTAAGTAAGTCGGTCAGTAAGTAAGTAAGTAAGTAAGTCAGTAAGTCAGTAAGTCAGTCAGTGAGTAAGTAGGTAAATAAGTAAGTAAGTCAGTAAGTCAGTAAGTCGGTAAATAAGTAAGTAGGTAAATAAGTCAGTAAGTCAGTCAGTGAGTAAGTAGGTAAATAAGTAAGTCAGTAAGTAAGTAAGTCAGTAAGTAAGTAAGTAAGTAAGTCAGTAAGTAAGTCAGTAAGTCAGTAAGTCAGTCAGTGAGTAAGTAGGTAAATAAGTAAGTAAGTCAGTAAGTCAGTAAGTCGGTAAATAAGTAAGTAGGTAAATAAGTCAGTAAGTCGGTCAGTGAGTAAGTAGGTAAATAAGTAAGTAAGTCAGTAAGTAAGTAAGTCAGTAAGTAAGTAAGTAAGTAAGTCAGTAAGTAAGTCAGTAAGTCAGTCAGTAAGTAAGTAAGTAAGTAAGTCAGTAAGTCAGTAAGTAAGTCAGTAAGTAAGTCAGTAAGTCAGTAAGTAAGTCAGTAAGTAAGTCAGTAAGTAAGTCAGTAAGTAAGTAAGTAAATGTTATTTCTATAGCACCTTTCACAGACACAAACATCACAAAGTTCTTCACAGAAAGCAAAACTAATTAAAAACAATAAAACAGATCACAGATATAAAAACAACAATTAAAACACAATAAAAAGCACTTAACTAAAAGCCTGTCTGAATAAAAATGTCTTAAGATGTTTCTTAAAAGAGTCAGTAGAATGTGAGCAGTGAAGGGACAGAGGGAGAGCGTTCCAAAGCCTCGGGACCACCAACTGACCGGTTTTACTTTTTAACACTTAAGTAGATTTTGTGAAATTTACTTTTGATACTTAAGTACAAAAAATATCAGATACTTTAAGACTGTTACTCAAGTAATATTTTTAGAGAAGACTTTAACTTTTACCAAAGTATTTTTATGATAAGGTACTTGTACTTTTACTAAAGTATCACTTTGAGGTACTTTCTAACAGCACTGCTAACTTGTATCTTTTTTTAATCTGTTTTTAACAAATAAATAAACAATATGTGATTTGTACAAATGACAGATATTCAGAATTTGAGAAATTTCAAACTTGTTTTTACAAGAAATATTTTGAGGAACAAAAAGAGTCACGTCGCTCCGCCTTGGCGCACCTTGTCTCCGCCCCGCGCACTGCTGATGCGCCCACCCAGCGCCCACCCAGCTGCTCAGCTCCGGGCTGGTGCCGTCCGGATCAGAAAGCTGCCGGACTCCGGACTGGAGACACGCAGCGGAACGAGTCCTCTGTGCTCCGGGATCCTGACACATTTTTACCGAGTTTGACGCCCCGGCTACAGCAGGCTGTTTGTTGTTGACTTTTTGTGGATTTATATTTAAAGATGCTTCAGACCAAGTAGAAGAACCGGACCGAGCGGGTTCTCCGTCCTCCGGGACGTTTAAGGACGCAGATTGTGGATTACATTTTGACACAAGACTTTGCTGCCTTTGGACAGAGGACTGACTTTATTTCTGATGAAACATTTCTCTTCAGAGTTAGCCACAGATCGTGTCAGTGAGCGGATTAGCACCGAGTCAAGAACCTGTCTCTGGCGGTCTCTGCTGAACCCTCTGGACCCAGTTCGGTAGGAAGAGCGGCTCCCAGTCCGGGCTCTCAAGATGTTGACTGCGCACACTGGACACTTGCTCCACCCGGAATATTTACAGCCTCTAACGTCCGCACCAGTCAGCATCGAGGTATTTGTTTACTGACTTCTTACAGTTTGATCCAAACAGCGGGCTGCTTTGATCTGCGGCAGAAATGAGGACATCAAAGAGATCAAAGGTTGTGTGATCTCCGACAAAAGGCTTACTTTTTCTTTCATGTTAAAGGCGCTTTCTTTGTGTCACAACACAGATTACAGATTACAGATTAGCTCAGTGTTTTCACTCAAGGCAAATTGCACAGAAAGTATGTAGAATTAAGAAATACATGTAAAAGCACCAATAACTGAATTAGTTAGTAGTCTTTTTTTGTCAAACATATAGGATAAATGATTACGACAGGGATGTCCAAAGTGTGGCCCGGGGGCCATTTGTGGCCCCTGACTTCAGTTCAAGAAGTAATTTGTTTGCAAATTTATCCTCCCGGCACATGGAGACTTTCTATTTATTATTTGGGCAAATTTATCACAAATTAAAATCTTACAATAAAAAAACGTATTGGCAACAAAACCAATTATTTGTCTTTAAATAACCAGACTCTTTGGTTTTTCCACATTTATCTAGTGACTTCTACTCAAAAGCTGATTTTGTTGCACTTAAATCTGCTTTTAATTCATTTATTAAATTCTTCTGAATACAGCAAGCATTTTCAACAAAAGAGTGACCTAAATCCTGATTTTATTGATCAGAATTGACTAAATTGGGTTGTTTTTCCCAATAGAAACATAGAAAATTGAAATAAAATCTTTCAGTAAGGGAAACCTGCAAATTAATTAATCTACAATAATTTACGCATCCATTTCCAGCAATAAATCTGACTACTTTATTTATAGTATTCAATGCTTAGTTTATTGTTGAGCAGGTAAAGGAAAAATATTTTTTGGCCCTCAGATCCTTTCGATTTTTATGATTTTGGCCCATGTGACAAAATGTTTGGACAGCCCTGGATTATGAGGACAGATCCCCTTTGTTAAGGAAAATGGTCATCAAACTTTACAACACCAGAGAGGAAGTCTGAAATGTTTTGAGCTAAAAGCTGAAAGGCAGATGATAATAATATCCATCATGTTGATCTTATTTTAAAACTCTTGATCAAAGCTTACTGGCATTATTTTAGCTTCTGAAATGGTTCTGCTCTTCTATTTTTATTGTTTGCTGCAAAAAAACCTCTTTGCTTCTTTCTGTCTGTTTGTTAGTAAAATATCCAATGAATCACTAGACAGATTTATCAATCTACATTTTTAACTGATTCCTTGGAAAATAAAAATTCAAGATGGCCACAGCAATTTCACAAAACAAAAAGACGATAAGCCATTTTTACACATACTGAGCTAAATATGGTGTGTAAGTAGCTGAAATCGATCCCCACCTTATACACTGAGTGCTAATAATGTTGGTTAAAATATCCTTTAAACAACTGAAACCTTTAGAAAATAATCATGAGGTTGACATTTATAATTGTTTGCCTTTTGGGGTCAACCTGATTTAAGATTTGTGTAGCAGCCAACTGACCTTAAACAAAACAAAAACTACACAATATACTGTTTTTAAGGTAATATCTGTTGTGGCAATATCATTATTTCATATTTTGAGCTCACCACAATGAGGAACATATTTACTTATGATATTGGTAATAACCATTGGAGTCATCCCTGTTTGTCTGTTAGCAAAATTTCTGAAATGCCATTAGACAGATATCAGTAAAACTCCCAGAAAATTATTGGCTCAACATCAACAAATGATTATTTTTTGAGTCAACTCAGTTTCACATATCCACTACAGCTATTTAGTCTACACATAATAGGATATACCTCAGTTAAGTTTTTAAATATTGACCAAATACTTGGTGTGGTAGTAGATGATAGTCATTCACAACACATATTCTGAGCGCTAACACATCTCACAGTATTGCCTTTGATATTTTAAAAGTTTATCTAGGATGGCTAGGGCTGTGAAATTAATCGAGTTAACTCTGATTAATTTTAGTGCTGCATGGGCATAGATTAAAATTTTTAATCACGATTAAAATTTACAATCACTTTACTCTGGCTGAATAATAGGTTTGTATATTACAACACACTCAGTGCATGTCAGGTCATGTTTGTAAATGAGAAGTGGTTCTCAAACAGTTTACCTGGATAAATAAACGTTAAATAATAAAAAAAAAAACTCCATATGTAACACATTATGTATAGTTTTTTTCTCTTTTATCTTCTTATAGCTTATTTTATTGTATTTATTTATGTTTTGCTGACAACTGTGACCTTAGTACAGTGGTCCTTAACCTTTTTTGAGGTACCGAACCCACCAGTTTCGTATGCGCATTCACTGAACGCTTTTTAGTGATAAATAAAATATGATTTTTTTTCCAAATTCAAGACGTAGGTATATGTTGTTGTTTTTCTTTTTACTGGTGTATAAAATGAGCCGTGCATGAACATCACCTTGCTCAAAGCACCAAACCAACACAATGCATGAACTCACAACAAATTACAGTATGACTTTATTCTGGCCCCATAAAAAATTTCAGCCCCCCAAAAATATTTTTTACTATTTTACAAATAAAAAATAAACAGGGATTTTTTTGAAGAATTTAACATTTTTAATAACTTTTTCATTCATTTATTTTAAAGTTAATTTGTTTTTTGTCGTTTTGAATCCACAAAATATTTTTTTGGGGCCAGCACTGATTGGCCAAGCAATCTCACGTGATCCTCTGCAGCAAGTGATGGCCAAGTGGGGCGTGTCGTCATGACTTGACACAAATGTGTCTTTACCTCCATGGCAGAGGCTCCACCGAACCCCCGAGACCGGCTCATTGAACCCCTAGGGCTCAATCGAACCCAGGTTAAGAACCACTGCCTTAGTATCCACCTTTCATTCCTCATGTACTTCATTTGGAATGAAAATCCTTGAATTCTTGATTTAACCTCATTATTCTGCACAAAATTTAACTGACTCAAATATGTTTGGAGCATTTTTTAGGTCCTGATTTTTTTTTTTTTTGTGCAATCGAGGTGATATTTTCATCATTTATTATTGTTGTATGGATTTCTTAAGCACCAATTTTTTTTTTCAAAATAAAGACATTAATTAATAACTCAAGTAATTTATTTTACCAATATGCAATAAAGTTTTATATTAAGTTTAATTTAATTGTGATTAATCGTGATTAATTCACAGCTACCTTGGAATTAATAGATTAAAAATTTTAATCATTTGACAGCCCTAGTTCTTTCACAACATGGGACAATGTTTGGATGTTTGTTGGGATGTTTGTTGGGACAATGTTTTTTGGGATGTTTGTTGGGATGATGTTTACCTAGATCTTAGTTTAAAATGCTGACGTGAAAAGTGGCAGGGAATATACATAAATTCAAAGAATGCTAGGCTTATAATTGGACTTTTATATTGTGTGCAGCCATGCAGACCTAGAATTAACTCAGATCTCTTTTTCTGTTGTAGCTGGATGCTAAGAAGAGTCCGCTAGCCCTGTTGGCTCAGACCTGCTCTCAGATTGGTAAACCGGACCCTCCATCTTCCTCCAAGCTGACTTCTTCTTGCAGTCAAGGAGAAAAGGAGTCCAGCAGTCGGACGTCTTCTTCCAGCCTAAAGACGGGGGAGCACCGCCCCTCCCTGGAGGATAAGTCCAGCTTCAAACCCTACAACAAAGGCAGTGGAGACTCTCGCAGCAGCAGCTCTAGCGGTGATAAAGTTGGGTTCAGAGTACCCAGCAGCAATAATATTACCACTAATGTACATTCAAGCAGCGGGTTACAGTCCTGTCCACCCCACTCTGCTTCGCCCGGCTCTAGAGTCAGCAACACGCCTCCAGGACCCACTCAGCAGCAGCACAAGCTGAGCCAGTCTCCTGGTGGACAGCCCACCTCGCAGTCCCAGACTCCCACCTGTGAATCCACTCAGGAACAGGGCAGTCCTGCCAGCAATAATAATGTTGCTAATCCCAGAAAAGAGGCTGATTTAACCAAGGCCAGCTCTGACGGTCCACATCATGCTAATTCTAGCCACGTTCGAGCCAGCACCAACTGCAGCAACAGCAGCTCCGACGGTGGCTCCAACCACGATGGCGGGAAAGCTGAGACCCTCCAGCCAAACCTCGGACCTGGACACATTACACCTATTTCCCCCTATAAGACCAGCCAAACGCTCTTCCCCCTCCCCACCTCCAACATGGGCTACCATGGATCTGTCATGGGGGGTTACGCAGGCTACCCGTCACAGTTCGTTCCGGGACTGGATCCATCCAAATCAAGCCTCAGCGTGAGCAGCTTGGGAGGAAAACACCCGAGCTCCAGCCCTCTCACTGGTGCCTCCCCACCCTCCTTCATGCAGGGTTTATGTAGGGACCCTTACTGCCTAAGCTACCCAGGTGTGTCCCACCTTGGAGGAAGTAACTGCAATTCCTGTATCCACGACCCTTCGTCCACCCTGAAGCCAAGCTTTCCCCTAGTGTACCCCTCCCATCCACTTCACCCCCTGTCGTCCAGTGTGTCCCCCTCCCTCTCTCATCCACTCTACACATATGGCTTCATGCTGTCCAACGACCCCCTTCCTCACGCATGCAACTGGGTGTCAGCTGGAGGTCCATGTGACAAGCGTTTTGCCTCCTCAGATGAACTCTTGGCTCACCTCCGGACCCACACAGCTCTGCCCGTGGGGATGGACAGTAAGCTGCTCGCCGTTTCCTCCTCTGGATCTGCCTCCTGCCACCTTCACCTCCCACACCAGAGCAGCCCGGGGTCCATGCCCAGCTCTCTGTCTCTCAGGGCTCCTCCCAGCCTGGGTTTAGCTCGCTATCACCCCTACAGTAAGGTTCATGTACCTTCTGGACCTTCCTCCATCTCCCTGCACTCTCTACCCACAACGGGTCCATACTACCCTCATTACGCTCTCTACAGCCAGAGACTTGGATCTTCTATTGGATACCAATAGAACATTTTCCTTTTTATATAAATTGTTTATATAATTATATAATTTGGGGGAAAATATTCATGTCATCTTCCACACAGGACATTGGGTGAGAAATCTGGAACAGTTTTCAAAAGTCTCCTAAATGTGAATCTGCAGCTAATTGGCAAAGCTTGGCATGACCAAAAGAAAAGCTGTGAAATTTTCAGCTACCAGCACCTTCACAGCTCACATTAAATGTTTAATACCAATCAAAAAGGAATTAGGCACTTATTGTGATGCTGTGTAATTGGGTACCAGTTCCCTTCTTATCGTTTCATTAATTTCATTTATTTAATCAGATTAAAACCCATTGAAATCAAGGTCTCATTTGCAAGAGGAACCTGGGATCAACACATTATTTAGTTTCAGGTTGTATCCCTCTGGGCTGCACTGGTTGTGTGAAACTAACTGGCTTAAAATTGCAAGAAAATAGTCAGATCTGCAGTTGTGGTCTCACAGATCTCTGAGCATGTGGTCATATTTGGTGTAGCCAGTTTATTTAAATCACAGCTTATTTCCAAGTGCACAGCTGACTAAGGTGTACTCTAGGCTGTTCAGGTTAGTTTGTTGCCTCCTTGGCTTTCTTTGCAGTAGCTGCGTTTTCATTGCCCATGAAAATGTGCAAATTAGAATTTGGAAAATAAATTTGCTCAATGGAAACACGTCAATTTCGGCGGAAAAAAAATCGTTTTTTGACAAAATGTTTTTGCGCTAGGATGAGGTGGTTTTTCGGCCGTATCGAAGTTGGTGTTTTTCGCAAAACTGCAATAGAAACACTTTTTTCGCATCACGGGAGTCACGTGATCAACAACCGGCTGTTTCTACTGGTGAAAAAGACGATGA